ACCTGAGTCTTCAAGCTGACATTTTTGCTCTTCAACACTTGAAAAAGGTCTTGTGCAGCAGATTTGCCTAATGCAACACGTCATTTGATATCTTGACTGCTGGCTCCTCAATTTTACAGTAAGCTTGCTAGAGATGTCCTAGTGTTTGATGCCCTGATGAAGAGATCAGCTGGCATCTGGTGAAAGACCATGAATTTAAAGAGCTTACTATAGCTGCCATCTAGGAGCCCAGCAAAGTCCAGGTTTCCCTCAATCTCTGACCAAGAGGAAGGAATGTTTTAAAGCAAGGAATCTGAAGGCATTTTCCTGCAACAGACTCCAGTCAAGCCAAGCTAAAGTCCATCTTGTGCCTAGGTTTGTGTTCAGATGCCATTTTTTCTGTAGTACCTCAATGCATCTGTGACAGCTGAACTGCCATAGTTAGAAGCAGAGGGAACTTGGAAGATTTTGAGTCCCTTCCCCAAGCCAACACAAAAAGAACAAAAACTCCCTAATAAGAGGAGCTTTCCTAGGCATCGCCCTTTGATGTTCTGCTAACAAAAGCAGGCAGTGTCTGTGCCGCCATCTTTGAGCCCTGATGTGCATGGGTCTGGAGAGATACAGCTAGAACTAGAAAACCATTTTCCTACTTTGGACACGTGGTTACTCCAGTTCTCACCCTTGTGAGTGCAATAATCCTAATCTGCACCTGTGTACACTGCCTAGATAAAATAATTACAGGTGTCCAATCAGCTATAATGTTTTTGTATTGACTAACTTGTCCCGTAAATCTCTACAAACTGAAATGAGCCACCAAATCTAATAAGAAGTCACTGATTTCCATTGACTTACAAGACCCCCTGTAGCTAGTATTCCTTATGAGTCCACATCTATGCCTGACTCAGAAGAAAGTAGCTAAATGAGAATGTTGCTGTATTTCCCAAGAATTTCCATCTTAAGAGGAGAGAGGTCCTTAGTGCTAACCTTGGTCTATACTTTCCTTTAGGTAATTGCAGGAATAAAGAAGTTCCTGAAATGGCTCAAAATGATCAATATAACTTGTGATAAGCAGAACAATAAAGAAGTTCCTGAAACTCCTGGGACCTCTACCACTTCATGCCCCAAATCCCTATACTCTTCTTTCCCCTTCAAGAGCCAGTGTTTGGAAAACACCCTGTATATTCGCTATTCCCTAAGCTTTGTTTGCTTCACCCCCCTTCCATACGCGCACAAACAAAACTCCGTGGAAAATGTAATTAAAAGATAATGGAATGTAAACTATCACATAATTCACAATAACACATTAAAAAAACAACAAAAAAGGATAATGGATATTTTTTTCCTGCAAACTTTTTTAAGTCCTCACATATGTTCATCTCACATATTTTCTTTAGATGCTGTTGACTTTTTTTAAAGTTTTTTTTTTTTCTCATTATGGAAGCAATAAATATTTATTTTGTTGTTGTTGTTAGGTGCCACTGAGTTGGTACCAACTCATAGCAACCCTATTTTTGCACAACAGAACAAAACATTGCCCAGTCCTGAGCCCAATGATGCTGCCACTTTGCAAATACATCTCACTGTGGGGTCTTCCTCTTTTTCTCTGACCTTCCACCCTACCAAAAATGATATCCTTCTCCAGTGATTGGTACCTCCTGACAATATGTCAGAAGTATGAGACATGAAGTTTGG